GCCATCCTACCACATCTGACGTTACTGTAGGTTAAGATCTCAATTTTAGCGTCTTCGATGGTTTCTTCTTGTTTTCTTTTCCGCTTTCGGTTCACTCCCAGCTCAGTCATTACTGAGAAGCACCCTGATTACACCAGTTTTATTCCGACATTTACCTTTGAGCACGCGGCGGGCGCTGCTTTCTCATATTGTAACGGTCAAACGGCTGAGCTTTGCATCTCGACAACGTAAACTTTGTTTTACTAGAGAGTTAAACTTTCAGCGGCGTTTTCGGTACACTTCAGAGAGTGCTCGTCTCTCCCCTCTGTCCTTTCTTTTTCCTTTCGCAGAGTCCAGCGCAACTACAGTGACTTCTGAGGAGTGCATTGAAGAATGTTATCGCATCCAACGCTAGATTTTAACCTCTGGATCAATGGTGCTTAGCGGCCACCGCTCTAAGTACCCTAATTTGTCCCAAACAATAGCATTTAACTTGGCGAATAGTGGCATTTGGCATTCTACATCTGAATATTTCAAAGTAACCAAGACCGAACTCTGCGTCATGCTCGTAGTCGATACAGTGATACTTGATCTCTAAGCATTGTAGAAATGACTAAGATTTCACCTGCAGCAGTTTGCAAGAGGTGAATTTGTATTGCAGCTGCCATTCGCCTCGGCGGTACTGAAGGTGAGGTTTTTTCTCATAAAATCCTATGAATTGACTCTGGAAGTTTGTTGCTGCACATGGGATAGGAGCGAAGATTATTGCTTATTGACTTATTGACATCCTATTTCTAAATATCATACTCTGCGAGAACTTGGGCAGGGGTGGTTATGTGATGTCGTCCCGCGCTCTGTCAGGGTTGAAAATCTCAACATACGAATTCTGATTCAGCGCCAACTGAGGGCCTTCCATCGCTCACGTGTCGGTGTTAGTACAGGATTTTTCAAGGACAAACAGACTGACTTAAACCCATTTCTGCATGGCCCTGCAGGTCATTTGCACAGTGTCTTCACTTTCGAACTTCCAGTATTGTAGTGTGCGTGGCGCAACCCGAAAAAGGATTGATTCACTTCGGAAACTTATTCTGTCCTTTCACATGCAGACGAACCACATCCTTTCGTTCCTAAGAATGAGACGGGGTGATCAGTATTCGTCCATCACCTCAGCATTTGTTGAACAAAAGCATCTCACAGAAAGTTTGAAGGATTCACAAATACAGGGTGGGGCAAAATTACTGGTGCACCTATACGTTTTGAATTTTTTAACACTTCTTGGAGATTTTCCTGTTTCACTCGCTTGTGATATGTTGCCTGGAGGTTGCGTAATTCCTACGTACTCGAATACAAAATGGTCCGTCGTTCTGACCTACGGAGCGCGATCATCAAACTTCACAACGACGGCAAGCAAACAAGAGAAATTGTGAAGATCCTTTCCGTACCTCGAAGGACGGTTCAGAATACAGTACGACGCTATAAAGAACTGAAGACCGAAGAGGACAGGGAAGGAAGAGGACGTCCCACAACAGCTACGAGTCGGAGAAATGTGAGGCTCGTCAGAGAAAGAATTCGAAGGCCAGGAGATCGATGCGCCAGATGGCGAAAGACGTTGGAGTAAGCGCGAGGTCAATGAGGAGGATTGTCAGAAGTAAGCTAAGGAAGTTCCCCTATCGCTTGCAGAAATGCCAACTCCTGACGGACATTATGAAGAAAAGGAGATTGGAGAGATGCAAGAAGTTGCTGCAGCGATTCACGGTGGCACGCGCCCGAGACATCGTTTTCAGTGATGAAAAGATTTTTACTCTGAATCCAGCCTTCAACTCCCAAAATGAGAGGATTATTGCAGGATCACTTGCTGATGCTACCACCAAGGCAAGACTCCAGGAAAGAGCGAAAACACCCCCAGTCCATTCTTGTTTGGGGAGGAGTCACCTCTACGGGGAAGACCCCACTTGTTTTCGTTGAAGCTGGTGTAAAAATCAACGCAGAGGTTTACAAAAATATCCTGGAGGAAGTTCTCAAGCCGTGGGCCAACTCCCATTTCGGAGAAGCCTACTGGTGCTTCCAGCAGGATTCTGCTCCAGCACACAAAGCAAAGATGGTCCAGGAGTGGTGCGCCGAGCACCTGCCCGACTTCATCAGACACGACGAATGGCCCTCCAGTTCTCCTGATCTAAACCCGATGGATTACTCTGTGTGGTCCATCTTGGAGAGCAAAGCGTGTTCTACCAGACATCCAAACTTGGACTCTCTTAAGGCGGCGCTTTCAAAATCTTGGGACGAAATCGATGACCAGTACCTGCGTGCCACATGCGAAGCATTTGTCGAACGTCTGAAGGACTGTGTGAAGGCTAAAGGAGATCATTTTGAGAAGCATTAACATTTTTTGTATTGTCATGTTTGTAGTAAATAATATTGATAATTAGAATTGATTTGTGAGAATTATTGTCAAAATGCCATTGAAAATTTAGTGCACCAGTAATTTTGCCCCACCCTGGTATGGACCCGCAACGGCCTGATGCGCGCCACACTCATGCTAAAATAGCAATATTCTCTACCATCAGCTGTCACAAAGGAGTCATTTTCCATTGCACACTTATTACAATGACGTCGCTTTCGAGGGCCTTTAGTCTAGTTTTCTAATGTAGGCAGTGCGTAGACGCTCAGATCATATGGTAGATGTAAGTCACAGATAATGCGTGTTTCGAAGTTGTGATATAGTATGCCCTAAGTCTGCGGTGTATAATTTCGAGAAGAATGAAAGGGATAAGTAATCGACCTATTTCCCCTTTGCTGCTCCACTTCTCGAAAACTGAGCCGGATTTCTATAGAAACTTGTCCATGACTTGAATATGGCTAGAAATTCGTCGCCGGGAGCCACCTCCATCCGAAGAATACGTGCATAACATCGAATTAGTGTGATTTTGCAATCCGCGCTACAAGGCCGACACCAGACCACGGATGATTACAAGGTTCGCTGGAAGTTTGTCATCAGGGGTAGTTTGTCCCGTTGCAAATGTATACCATATTAGTCGATTGTGAGAGAAATTACAGCCTGCACCACTTGCACCGGCGCCCGTGCGCGTCTTCGTGCCTGAAATATCGATTTCGCTGTCTCGACCGACAGACCCCATCCGGTGATCCACTTAGTCAAATCCTCTGTCATTTACTAATTTCGATTGAAATCTCAGTTTTGAGACAGTAAATAAGTAAATTCGTGCCCAAAATCTGTTTTCCCAGGTCTAGTCAATCCTGGTGCTGTAACAAGTTTATGCAAGCTTTCTTTGTGTACGCACAAAAAAACGCAGTAATGAAGCGGTCATTTTACGCGTCAAAAAAAAACCGCCTGAGCAGAACACCTTAGATTAAAGGCACAACCCAGGCAGAGATGAACGTGTGAACGCTTTCCTTCGTTCTATAGTACGGACCCCTAGAGGACAATCACAAATGTGGTTTCTGCACGGAGCACCGAGAAGAGCGCTTGGGTTTTGCAAGGTAAGCTGCTGGAGCTGCGGATTTTTTCTTCTCCTTATCAGGCTGTTGTCTGCACTCTCTCATCTGTAGCGCTCTCTCGCCTCATACTCTCCTCTCCGCGCTTAGTCTCTCATTCCCTTAGCACAGCCGACTAGAAGGTGAGTGAGCCCTTCAACCTAAGCGATTCCGACGGATTCTTTTCTTTTTTCTTTACTGTCGGCCCATTTGCGCCCATACATTCGCATTCGTGTGCCAGAGCCACACCAATGTGATCCTGGGACATACCTTTAATTGAGGGTGCACCAGTAAATTATTTTCTGCACATTTCCCGCAGCCTGGCCTGTCGTACTTCCGCACGCTCGCGGTCGCGGCTCCGCCTACTGTTTTAAAAATTGATACGTTGCTTAGACGACTCCTGCTGGCGACCCTCCTCAGTTTAAGGAAATCGGTTGGGCGGTGATGAACATTTATTTGAAAATTAATGAGCTACCACGCGCTCAAGACACTACGAGGCCACATTTTATGACTTGGGTTTACGTAACATCCTCTGGTACTTACAAAGAGGAGAATCTTCTCCAGGACTCAACAAGATGTCAAGAAAATCCGGTTTTTCAGAATAGTTGAGTCTACCCAGCAGCGTCCAGAAGGATGGACTCGTCAGACTTTCTTGGCATATTTGAAGTATACGAGAAACATGCGGTATATTTCCCAATTCAACGAAAAACAATGTTATTCTATGGCATAGCTACGGAATGTGGTGATACTATTTGCTTTATACGTCATGAAAACAGCTTCTATTGAGCTGTTGGGGACGTTTCGAGTTCTTATGTACTGCAATGTTGTGTTTCCCGCTTTAGAATGTAATATGATCTGTCTGCTATTTGTGCCGCACATCATTGTACCATATCCTGTGATTTTAAGTATGGGACCCACCAGACTACTAGGTCGTGAAATAACTCTACTTTATGGCGCTTTTTTCTGTTGGTTTGGCGCGTGTGCCGTTCTTAGCATTGCGTACTCAGTATCACTTAACTACATATCAGTTTGCCATTCTTGGATCTTGAGATCTAAAGCTTTTCTTATTCTAAAATGGGCCGCTTTTCTTCTTCCAGTTATTTTTATAACACCTTTTAGCATTACATTAATTTACTTGATAATAACTGACACGCAGTCAGTCTCATCGATGTTGACAGCGGACCCAAGAAACGTTGTCTTTGTGAACGAATTCGCCGCTATGCCGGTTTACCTTCAGTCGTTTGGCGTCGATTTGTGCCTGATAGCACTACTTCTTATTTACACTGGCGCAGCAATCGTTGGTAGTGCAATGATACTCAGGTGAGCAAGCAGCACACTATCGGCTTTGATAACAATATAATAGTACGACAAAATCAAGTAAATAACAAAATTGATAAAAAGAAAAACACTCCGTGCTAATAGGCTCCCAAAATGCGCCACGAATCCATCTTTAAAGTGAATTCGACATGTCATTCGTAGGCCTACTCTATTACTTAAGAGTACCAGAGTACGACTACCGTCGTATTCATTGTCATTATTCACATATTGGTTCTCTCGTGGACCTTTTTCTTCGAAATAGTCCAATTCACTGGTTTAGCCAGCTCCAAAGGGGGGAAGGCTCGTAGATCTCTGCCGCAAGTTCCGATACACGGTTATTGATTTCTGAGGATATGACAACTTTCACAGCCAATTGACAGTACATTACACGACAGGTGAAATCACCTGTTATTACACTACTTCCCTACCTCGGTGGGCGGGGCGTTCTCCAAAAAAGCAGTGCTTAACAAAAAATCGATAATTCGGTTGGGAGAACCCTACGGAGTCAGAACATGTTAACCTGGGGAAGCCACTGTGTAATGTGGGCTCCGCAGCAATCGAGCCACCACAGTGGGCGGAGAAGTGTCGCTGAACAGACCCGTTTTCTAGCAGGTTCCTCATGGTTCGGTTCCGGTTTTGGAGTCTTCAGAGAGCCGGAAAAAGTAGGATAGAGCTCGAGAGAGTGGGGATAAATGTCAATGATGGGCGGGGCATGGACCAAGTGGGCGGAGTTTGCGACGAAAATCCATAACACGGTTCCAAGAAGTCCTGGAGACCGGGAAAGAAGTTGATTGAGTTTGTCAACGAAGGGAGGTCAACTGCCATCGGTGGGTGGGACGAGCAACAAAGGGGCGGAGTTTGCCCGAAAATTCATAATATTGAGTTCAAAAAGTTCCGAACACGGGAAAAAGTGGATTGAGTCCATCAATAGAAGAAAGGTCAAATTGCTATAAGGTGGTGGCAGCGTGATTGAAGAGCTCAATTGTGCTACGTGATATCGTACTAAGGCTGGAGAGGTGGATAAAGGTTGGCGAAGGAATGGGGCCAAATGCTGTTTATGGGCGCCACCGAAGACTCACAGAGTTTCTCACGGTGGACTACAAAATGTCAATGGCCCTGTTTCATACCAATGCAGTCCCGTGTGATGCACGCGAATGCGTGCCGCAGCCAACTGGTATAATATAAAGCTGTTGACTGGAGGCGGTAATTAGCGAAATCAAGGGAAAAGGTTCAACAAACTCATGAGAAACCTTAATGAATACTAGGAAAGAATAAAAAGCGAAGCGAGAGCCCGCACCGCAAAAAAAATTCCGTATAATTTCTGCCTCCTTTTTTCAATGAGGCAGCACAGTTGCAGGGTAATTCTACGCATTCGGTCGAGGAAACACGAATTTTCCGCAAAAACGTATCGCCTTCACATCAACGTGGTTATTGCACTTGTCATGTACTGTGTAATACTATTTCTTCAAGTGGGTCTTCCCGTTATGCTGGTCGTCATCACAGTATTTTTCAGCTTATCGTGGATGACTGCGATGTGAGTTGGTTAATTATGACAGTGTTATTTTTCTTTGGGCTTCCAAAAATGTTAATTTTCTCATGTCTCTTTCTCCTACTGCAAAGCAACCCCTAACTGAGTCACCTTTGTTACCAGAACTCATTCTTTTCCCATCTCTATGATTTGGGCGCTAGAAGATCCTCTTGCCACAGTGGGGCCAACCTCAGAGACTGTGGCGATCTCGCACACTGAAAGTGAAGAAAATCCTTGAGTTTCTTGAAAAATTGTCTTAGGTCTCATTTGGTGGATCCTTTTCAAGCAGGCCGTTGTAAACAACCATGATAGTGGGTCTGACTGGCCATTTTGGATGAGATATGGGTCATGTGATGCTTCCTCAGGCTCGAATCTATGCTTCAAATCTGCAAAACTGTTTTCTGGGCAGAGGTTATATTTGATGCGACAACTGGTACGAATATGAGACGCATACGCGGCATGGATGTGGGCCTAGTCTAGCGGTTCTCATGTTTCCCATCTCTGCAAGCATGGCGTTTTCATATCCTTGTCATTCTTTTTTGTTCGTTATCAGAATATGCTCATTACATTTGCAAGCGGTTTTCACATGGTTAGGAAACCTAGCCTTGCGAAAACTGCTATTCACGAAGAATTGAGAATCAGAAAATCCGGTCATAAATACTCCTGAATCGGTTGGTTTCGCACATAAAATGTGCCTTTTTGCCGAAATCCTTTATACACGTTTAGACCGTATGCTGAGAAAGAATCTCACAAGCGCTATTCATAAAAACGCTTGAGCTCTCTAGAGCAACCATTGCATAAGTGAATGGCTTCGAGAGGGAGAGCTCAAAAATTTTGTTTCGTCGTGCCCACAGTTGGCATTACGCTCAAGAGAAAGAAATAAAGGTGCGATATTTAGGGTTGAGCAGATCCAGTCTACACTGCACGCGTTAAACTTTATTTCCGCTAGGAATATAAAAAAAGTTTGCTAACCGTTACTGAGAGATGTCCGAAAAATTTGAAAAATGAAATCAGCACGATGAGGCTTCTCCGGCACAAACCATCGAAAAAAACAATGCCCAAAAAATAGGCTAAGGCCTGCATCGAAAATGACGGCGGCCACATAAAAACTTCTTCGCAGTTGAAACAAGTTCGAAAATTTTGAAGCAAACAATTGCAGAGAGTTAGTTGTATGCTTTATGAAGCGCATGATTTTTCGCCACCTTCTGTAAGAGAGTAACTGGGAGTGACTGGAGCCACTAGGGTCCAGTCATGGTTACTTCCCGCCGTTAACTCACGTTTACTCGAATTACTACGATTTAACGTTCAGAGCACGGCAGAAATCAGAGACAGTAAACGTCCGGGAAGACCCTTCTCCCGGCACCCCGGTGCTTATCTGCGATCTGAAAGTTTCAACATTGGCTGCGTACTGTAGCTTGATTCATTCCTTTTCTCCTTTGACCTTTATGAACTTGATGTTTTGGAGCATCACTCCCAAATGTAAGGTTTGGTGGTTCTCTTGAAAACACTATCTCTGCGAATCTTGTTTATTATAAACTCTATAATCGTACCAGTGAGCCAAAAAAATAGCAATAAGATTACATGTCATGGGTTTAGAGATGGGATTTGAATTTGGAGCTTGAAATTTAAGTTTTGCCGCGTGAGGCTTTGAATTTCTTGAATCTTGAAGGGTCTACGTTCCAAGCGAGTCCGCCAGCCGTCCTATTTTGCCCGGTTTCCTCTCCAGAGCACGGGACAAAGGACTTCAACCCTCTGGCCGTACGGCCAGGGTTTCCGACCGAACAATCTGATGTGTGGTGGGTAGTCGCTGCCAGCGAACGGGCTTGAGAGCCTCCCGCCTCGCGAGCGCAGAATCCCACCGAAGCCGATCCCAACGCCGCCTTCCGCGCTCTTGTTATCCTTTGGGGGCGGGACTTGAGTGCCATCATGAACATCGGTTGACACTTGGATTAGGCCCTACAGTGTAAAGGATTCGTCTTTCAAGTGTGTTGGGTCGCACCGTTGAGCACTCTCAAAGACAAAAATGTAACAGCAGTAACGTAACAGCGTTTTACACATTAAGTGTCCAAACGTTCGTGCTTAAAGGCAAACGCCGGGATACTGTGTGTATGGGCGCTTCGTAGTGATGACTGAGCTGCGGAATGAACTGAAAGTGGAAAGGAAAGCAAGAGAAATCATCGGAAACGCTAAAATTAAGGCCTTAACCTACAGTAACGTCGGATGTGGTACGATGGCGAGACAGGGCGATCAAAGAAGACAAAACACGCGAGAGAGCACGCTGATCTCTATATCGAGGAGGGTGGGAAGCGTTGCAGCGGAGGTCGATGGTTGCGGGTTCGTAATTAATTTTCAATTAAACAACTAAAAAAATTCATGAAAATTAGCGCTCTAATCGCGCAATTCGGGCAACGGAGCTGGAACGACCTATGAAGGTACGGACCCACAATTTCCCTCGCGGTATACTTCCCACTAGTCGGGCTATCCCGGGGTTTGCCTTTAACTTGCAATAGAAAACTATCCAGCAATTCTGAGGGATATGATAAACGGGAATGAAAAATCAGAAAGAAAACCTGTAAGTAGTGCAGATATTTGTACTAAGATATCCTTAACTCGGGCGTTTTTTTCAAATACACGAAACATTGAGAGAGAAGCGTTGATAGTTTGAGCTCAAAGCTTTGAGCTCAGAGCGAATTGTGTTTCTAAATGGAGAATCACTTCAAAAGATTCGCTCTTCACTCAACCGAAAGACACGTCAGGCCCTCAGCTCACGATCTCGACGTCAATAATGTAGCTCAAAAACGTGATTCGGAAATATGCATGCAGTGACAAAGGAAATGAAAACTACTATCTAGACAGATCAGAAACCACTGCAGCGAGACGTCAATCTATTTCAGACCTTCTCTGGTGACTATTTTATTCATTCCAGTTTCGTTATTCGCGGTTTCTACAAGCATTATGTATTTGATAGTTATTCGTCCATTTCGCGAGTCTGCTATACGAATAATTAGAGGAGCATTTGGCACTTTAGCATTGTTGAAGATTATTGGTATTCGAGAACGCCGGAAATGTAGTAATTCGTGCTTTACTGTATCCAGTGGCTGTGGCAGAAATGAAATACCTCCACCAACAAAGTTCAACTGACCTGTGCGATAATGAATTTTAGCTGAGTATCATTCGACCATCATCAGACAAGCCTCATTGCTATTATAAATACCACCAGTGTCCAATATACTGTCATCGTGACTATTACACACCGATAGGCCGAACGCAAACATGGCACATCCTTCTATTTGATAAACCGCTCGCTAACTTGATTGTCGGCTTGGTATGTACGTCTGTCTGTCTGTCCGTCCGCAAAATAAAGTGAGTGATAAGACCAGCTATTGGAATAAGCAACCGCTAACAGGATCGGTTAGGGCTTGACTATCAATATTTGAATGCAAATTGGAACACCCCCACGCCTATACACACACCTACTGAGCACATTTCCAGCCATTTCACATGGTGCTGCAGTGGTACCTAGAGGACAGTGTAGATAGGAGGGGAGGATGGGAAGAGGAGACGGAAAACCTAGTCACCGAAAGGCCCAAGGTGCACTTCGTATAGCATATCTACCGTCATATCATGGCATTATGACGAATGGCCTCTATTATATGAAACCCCTTTTTTGTTGCATACGCGTCACCTTCACGAGGTGGGTGTCATAAGTGGAAGGGACCACAGCGGAAGGCCTAAAATTACGCAGCGATGGGAAAGGTCTCGGCGATTGACGGGGGACCAGTCTGTATACAGGACGCAGTAAAAAAACATTCTGTCGCCACATTCCAACCAATTTAATCACACTCTACTAAATTGCGAACTGAATGGTCTGTGTAAATAAGAGCACATTCTTAATAAAATAAACTTCATGTTGCCCTCAAGTGGACGAAATCGGAAAAAAAAAAATAATAAATATAACTAAAAAAAAAAAAATAATTAGCACTGAAAACATGGTGTACTGGTCGTGCTCAACGGGGTCATGGACGGATCCCATACTATTTAAGACATTTTCAGAAAGGCGGTCTCCGAGGGGTTAGCAATTCATAGCTAATGTTTAACTATCAAACGATGAATTGATTGAAAAAATAAAGGCACAACTCAGGCATGGATTTGCGGGGTAAGAGCGATAAACGATGTGTGAGTGTGCATTGTTGAATGGAAATGGAAGAAACAGCGAAAAAACCCGCGATGAAGCCTAAACAGGAACCTCCACTCTTCCAGTAACATCTCGCCTAGCCTTCAAGGGGAGGTGCAACCGGACGAGTTTTCCGAACTTGATATTAACACTTTGCTAGACCATTGGAAGAGTAGATTTTGAAAATGCAAGGTTTTGCAAAATGATACAACGAATAATAACAATAATAGTGATTTAGATAGAAGAAATTCGGTCATAATGCTGATTTAAAGAAAGAACCATAAAGCTTGCAGCGGTTTTGCGCACGCAATCATTGACGTATAACGCTCAACGACGCCTACAAGCAGAATGTGACGGCTCATTCATGCACACTCGGCCTCGCACTGCGCGAACCACACCTGCGGGAGAGTCGCCGGGCCCGGCATCCGCTGCAGCTTGCTGAGAAGACCTAGGTGCCCTTTTCGGCGCCTCTCGTTCACGCGACTGTTACGCTCGCTGAGATGTTGCTGGTACTACCTCACAGACGAAGGACCGCTTCACAGGATCTCCTGGGTATCGCGTTAAGTAAGAGCTTCGGCCTGGAGCATTTACTGTAGATCCCCGTGAGCGTCGACCACGATGGCAGATGACGTCGCGTTCTGAAAACGTTGAGGACAGCGAAGGAGGGCTTGCATCCGCTAGTAGAGGGTATTTGAGAACATTTGTCGAATAACTTCCTGCAGTAACGGACAAAGTTTCTGCGACAAAAGAAAACGCTGGTTGTGAATTTGACACGTCAAAGCCTCTTTTTAATAGGCCCCAGCACATATGAAGAATGCCAAGGCAAATACATATTTCATGTTTCCGATAAGCCTGCGCGAGTTTAGCATTTCCAAGGTGCTGCACTCAGCGCAGATCTACCGTGCCTTCAACATGGGAAGTATCATTTGAAATTTGGCATATTTTCATCCATCACGTTCATCAATCGTGTTCCAACCCAGCCCCTGTCTCGCGCACTGTGGGTCGGCTTGCTTGTCGGAGGAAAAAAAACACTGACTGTACATTGGCTGCCCCCACAATCATTGTACTAGGCCACATCGCAGTCAAACCAGGAAGTTAGAAATCGCGACCCAAAAAGATGTCAATGCAAATGCTTCTCCTTTATATTTACTACTATGGGAATTCCGGTGATGATGCACTGATAGGGGAGTGCTTAAAATTAAGGGTTCAAGTGTTTACCTTCGGGTTCGATCCCTGCCCGAGCAAAACCATACCCTGCAGAAATTGTAAAAAGTGGCTAAATACCAGTGCCATACCCAAGTTGTCAAGCAGACTGGATCAAGACTCCAGTTACAATAATTATGCCTGAAAATTGGTAAAGCGTAATAACTTCGTATCAACGAGTCAGACGTTCACAAGACTATTGTGATTAACAACATTCTGTGCTGCATGCGAATAATGACGCGGAAGCCATCGCTTTGATGAACAATGGTTCAAAATTGGGAAAAATCTTTATTCAATTGGCACGACTCTCGACAACCGTTTTGCCCGTTAAACCGCCACTGTATTCGATCAACATCTTGTCCTCTTGAGCTCTTCCAGGCTGAAATAAAAAACAATATTGAACTGTGTGGAGTGTTTCCTCTGGAATTTAAACACAATTAACACTTGACATTCTTCAATAGCGTTCCCAGGGTGGGGTAGTGTCTTTTAGCGGTCATTGGTTTTTTTTCATCTCGAACTGTTAAGCGCATTAAATTAAACGTATTTCAGCATAGAAAATATTACACATTCATGTTCGGCCGATACATTAGATTGATCCCTTATATGGTGGAACTTTTTTGGAATTTTATTGAGGAATCAGTTGGAGAGGCGTGACAACGCGCGAAGGGCCTAAGTCAGCGGTGGGACAGGACTGTGGCGTTTTTGACTGGTGAAGTAGATGTCAACTTCATTTCAAGTAGAGTATAGACAGCGCCATGTTGTGGCTTCGGAGCATAAAAATCGCACATAATACTCTAGATTTTTCGATGGCATGGTTCTGAAAGTTGATTTTGAGTACCTCCAAGTTCAGGATGAAGGAGCGTGTTATTGGGGGGTTATTTTAAATATATCGACGTAAGTAGCTGTGGCAATTCCATAGGATCATAGCAAGTTCATCAAACTTTTAGGGGCGGCAGAAGTTGGTATTTAATGAAGACGTATAGGCACAACCAGCCCCTTTCTCCGGCGCGTCGCTAGGCAGACCGTATGCTGAATGTTGGGAGAGGGGATGGAGTCCCGACGGTGGACGGACCACTTCAACTCGGTCCTTAGAACCGCCACAATTTGGTGCTCACCTCAGAACTAAGCCTTAAAGAGAGGACGGGTCCGTCCCCTCTCCAAGGCTTAGTCCTGGGGTGAGCAAACCAGCCCTTCTGCTGGACCAGCTGCACCACTTGCGTCAGTACTCTCCTATCGTACCAACCGAGTTGAAGTAAACCGTCGACCGTTGGGACCCCATCCCCTCCCCAACTCGCCAATCAGATCTCCACCGAAACGCCATAGGAGAGGCTGCAGTGTTGCATCACGCGGCATTTGGGCGACAGGTTCCTGCGACAGCGGAAAATTCTAACCTTACACAGGTAACTTTCTGGAACCTTCTACGGGCCTAACCATTTTCAAACCACTTTTTCAATGTCTCCGCTCTGGAGCATCGGATTCTAGACAGGCACAAGATTCTGTGAAGAAGTGATTCTGAGTCAGGAGATGAGAGGAGCTCCAAGCGTAAACAGAAATCCTAGTGGGAGAAAGAGTTTTCGCCTTTATAAAAAATGCCTGGCCCAGATCGCTCCTACTCTATAAATTATTACACAATCCTTCATCTCCTGCTGCCCTGGTGGCCCTTATCGTCAGACACGGCCTATCTGGATTTTGGGCTGAAAACTTTGGGCTCAGACGAAAAAGTCGCGAAACCTCACGCCAAGGAGCTGTGTGGCGTGCGCTATCGAGGAGAGTTTGCTGGCATCCTCAGAGCAACATACATACTATAATGGATGGCTCGCATGGCAGATGACAATGTCATAATTTAAACTGTCCCTCACTGAATTTTTAGTTCTAAGCTCATTCTTATCTTCTCCTGGCTTTCTTCCCTTTTGGAGGCTGGACTCATTGAGGAGAGTTTTAAGATTTGTAATATTTCGTCCATTGATCTTTAGTCACAGCAAAGTCCAGCAACTCCAGTAAGGAATCAGTAGAAGAAAAAGATCTATCTAACGTCATTGCTCAATTAAAAACTGACTCGAAAGGAGCTACAAAGTAAATCAATTTCATTCAGCTCAAGAGCGCTCAAGGATTTGAGCCTATGAAGAAAGAGATCACGTCGTGCAAAATTCAGTTGCTCGAGTTCAAATAGCCCATCCCTCTTAACCCTTGCCAGCATTCTATTGTGAAAAATGAATGCGGATCAGCTCCAACGCAGAAGTAATTTCCATGGAAGTGCGTTATTAGGCAAGTAACCGGTGTCACTGATGAACTGGTGTCACCAGAGCTCTGGAGGCATCAGTTTACCAGTAAGATTCGATGACGTCATCAGAACCGTACCACCCACCATCCATCGTGATCATAGCCCGCAAGGCCCTAAGGGGGGATGATAACCCTGTGAGTGTTGTTTCCACACAATCTTAGACACTTTGACAGTTAAAAATTTCATTAAAGGCAAGATTCGAGCTTAAACTGATGAGGTAATTCTACTCAAATGTGATGTAGGGGCGGGAGGTGGACCGCCAGTGGAGAAAAAAGGAAAAAATCGTGAAATACACAGGAAATACGAGCCTTTTGCTCTACGTTGCGGAGAAGTTCAAAAGGCCGGCAGGGAGATGAGAGATAATGACAAGATATCGAGCGGTGGGCGGAGCGTGTCGCAACAGGTGGAGCGTGTCAAAGTCCTTGGCCCCTAGCGCCTTAGTGACGCATTTCGATGCGGGAACTTGGCGAGTCGCCTGCAGTTGCGTCCCATGCACTTCTAGCCACTTTAAGGGCTTATTAGGTGGGTCTGAGCCCGAACTTTGCCTTTAAGCTCGTGTGCTTACCACCTGCTGACACCCACCTTCCTCGTTATTATAATGCTGATCTGTCCGCGTTCTGCTATTTCACCTGTTACTTGACTCGGGTCTATCACGAAGCTTGAATTGGTTCTGCATAGAAAGCTGAAAACATACATATAGGTGCGCTTGTGCCCTGTTAGCAAATTGTTTGCAGCACAGGTTGCTGTAACATAACGGGGTCCAAGCAAATAACGGCTTGAGAAACCTACTTTATATGACAACTTTAGGTTGCTGTAATTCATCATCCAATGTCGACTGATCCCCGCTTTGACCATCAAGGGATTGCGCGGATTTTGAAAGCATATAATGCCTTCGGATTCCATTCCTATTTAAAAATGAACTAACTCGGTGACTGAACCCCATTTTATAGCTGGTCACTAGCCGTATCACGACTAACTTTCACTATCAAATAAACAACAATACCGCTTAGGAGCTTTTTCGAATAATTCGAAGAGGCTGGACGTGGTTGTGGTATCGCTCGAGCTTGGTTACTTATCAAAGGCAATCACCTGCCGTAAGATCAAAGCTGAGGGGGGGGGGGAAACAAACGCTGTACAGGGTTACTATTCGGCTTCTTCTTCCTGAGTCGAAATTCTATGGTAGGTTCATGGTGCTCGAGCAACAGGAAACAGGCCGATCGTAGGTGACAATAAGACAAACCCCAGAAGATGGGAAGAACGCCAGGGAGAGCAAATTGTTCACATCTTCCTCAGAATCCCTTTCTCTCCCGCAAGCGTAATTGGCACACTTACTTGGTCCCTTCCACCGACATAAAACCTGATCAATTGTCCGCCCTGATTAGTGTCAGAGCGAGACACCTGCCGTCAGAGCAGTGCTGAGAGGGAATATATCGCTGCAAAATATTAGGTACCGGATATCTTAGTGTCGCTTTTCTGAGTTCAGGAAGTTTTGGGGCCGATTACTATGGAAAATCAATATCTCAGAAAGTCCTTTTTGCTCATTAATACTGCGAAATATGTTGCTTATTGTTTTCTATTGTTGGTTCACAATTTAACTTTCCCCCAATTTTTATACTTTTTTTTGAAAATTCCTGGGTCCAGTGTGCAAATTCGCATGTGTGTACCAAATGCTTCAAAATTCTTGCTGAGAGCTACAACTTCCGCCACCAAACCAACATTGCATTTGTTGGAGGGAATACTACCATTTAAAATGCTCATCGGTTTTTCACAGTTTTCTCAAAAGACAGTGAAGTCTTTGAAGTGATGCCCGCAATCGTCGTCAAAAAGGTGGCCCTAGTTAAATCAGTCGAGACGGGGCTGCACCAGTCTTGTGCTGAAATGGTAGGACACCTTAGCAGTGACTGATCGATGATGCACAAACGCTTTAACGAAGTTGATTGCACAAGAAATTCTAATAAATGTGCTCATCTGCTACTCACGTGTGCTCAAAAAGGGTGCGTTTTTGACCCTATGTGGCAAAAAAAGACTCCGGAAAGATTTGTCAGATGATGTCAAAACCGACCTACCTCTCTTTTTCGACTCAAAAAATTCCTAGCTTTAATCGTACGAGGTTTCCACTCATACTGGTAAATGGGAAAGCTAATGAGTCATTCGATGAATATGCTGTTTCACTCCCCGGATTCTGAATTAAAATATTGGTGGTCCGAAACTCGTGGTGAAAAAACGACACTAAGATATCCGGTACCTAATACTTATTCACTATCCTCAATAAATCCACTGTCCAGGTTCTACCTCCAGGTTAAATGTTGAGCAAGTGGGAATTGTATGCACTAAAAACCTCGTGAAGCTCTCCCAACTCTTTTTTTGCGTCCCAAAACGGGACTAATGGTAAGCCTAAGGCGGCGAAGGGGAGACTGCAGAATGCGTTGGCAATTTCCATAATCCACGAGGCTCTGCTCCCTCCCAGAACTAATACTAGAGAGTGTCCCCGTATCTTGGGATAGCTCTCCACTTCTCAATTCAATGAAGGCTCTTAATATAAACTTTTATAACTGAATCGGTATTTCATTTCTTTTAGTAATACATTCACAAAAGCGTGAAGACGCGGAAGGCGGTTCCTGACAGCGTTGGCGTGGGAAGATGAACTCTTCGCACTTTTCCGGCTGTTCACGAAAGCTATGAAAAACAGTCGATCTACTTCAGGATTCAGCGAGACACAATGCTAGTTTATTGGCATAAAAAGTTACGAACGTGCAGTGGCGTCTGTTCTATATGTAGATAAAACAACCAAAGTCTGAGCTGTTGACATCCGTTTCGTTTTCTCATGTACTGTAATGTTGTTTTTCCTGCTCTGGGGTGCAATCTGCTGAATTTCTTATTTGTACCCTACATCCTTGTGCCATATCCTGTTATGTTAAACCTAGCGTTTTCGAATTTCGGTCATGTATCAACCTTGGTTTATTTCGCTACGGGTTTTACACTTGGATATTTTAGTTATTTCGGTGTTATATACTTGATCGCTCTGAACTATATATCTGTTTGTCATTACTGGCTTCTGAGATCAGCTGCTTTTCCAACTCTAAAGTGGCTATCCTTTGTTCTTCCATGTATCCTCTTGATACTTCTGAATGTCACCCTTTCATATGCTGTATTACATGATAACATTTCATCGATACCGCTGATGTTAGCAGCAGATCCAAGAAACGCCATTATTGTGGAAGACGTCGCCGCTTTGGTGATCAACTACTACACATCGTACGGGATTACCATATTTTTTGGATCACTTGTGATTTCCTACACATCAGCGACGATTATAGGTGTCATATTGGTTATTAGGTGATATATCGATACATCTTCTCATTCGGCTTATCAAATTCAAATTGAAAGTCAATATTAGTACCGTAATAATAAGTATTTTGCAGGATTACTCAAAGAATTCGGGCGAAAAAGCACGAATTTTCTCTGAAGACATACCGTCTTCATATAAATGTTGTCGTGGTCATTATCCTTTACTCTGCGGTACTACTACTCCAATTCGGCTTGCCCATTTTGATTATTGGAATAGCACTGCTATTTCGACTGTCATGGATGGAGTCAGTGTAGGTATTTCCAGCACTGCTAAAGTATGTACTTGTCTAAAATTCCCTTTATGAGGCATTATAAAGATGTCGCATCTTCTAATCGAACTCCTCCAGCGCAAGTAAGAAACATCTTGATTGCACCTATCACACGCCGAAAGCTCAGCTCTGGGCGCTTTAATCTCATGTAAAACCTGTAATCATACTGCTTAAATTTTTGAAATTTTTGGTCGGATTTGCTTCCTCCTTAGAATGATTACAAATTTCTTCTAATTACACATTTCCAGGCCATATCTTCAAATGCTGCTGTTCATGCCAGTTTCGCTGACGGCTATTTCTGCCAGCGTGCTGTATTTAATAATTATTCGACCTTTTCGTCTAGCAGCTACAGGGCTCATTAAGCGAGTGTTGAGCCGTTTATCGTGTTCCATGCATACATGTGAAAATAAGAGCATCACGTTGAATAATAGCTCTAGTAATCAAATGTGTTACGACCAACGGCGCATTCCGTGACGGCCAAGGTGTATGTTTTCTCTCTCAAAAATAAACTGGTGGTGATTAGAGCTCACGAAAGAAGAGAGCATCGAGCAGCTTCGAAATTCCACAAATCAAAGCTCCTTTATTCAAGATTTTTTGCTGAACTTGTTTGCTGTTGGATTCAGAAGTTCTACATGCTAGCACGACACAAAGAAAGGGTTCATTCGAGTCCAGGCTGGGTCCTTCCAGGCCGACGACGCCTGGCTTGACCGCCTGACCACTTGACTGAACCAAGGATATCGCCATTCTCCTCTATTAGAGTCCCTTTCACTAGTTGATTTTTTTCGTTTCTCATATCGACGTGAGTGATCTCAAGCTCTCCTAGCCCAGCAAAGCTACTATTGAAAAAAAAACGGACCCCGAGAATACCAATAGGCTCTACAAGCAAGATGAGTATCAGTTTCACATAGCTATCAGTAGGATTTGCCTTCACTATTATAATCTACTTTATGACGATCTGAAA